GGGGGATGGGGGGGGGCAAAGTCCAGGGAAACCGGGGGGGGGGGGAGGGGAAATGGGGGGGGGAGGGGAGCCCCAAAATTCCCTCAAATTCCGGGGGAAAATTCCCAAAAATCCCCAAATCTCCCCCCAAAATTCCCGGGTTTTTCCCTTTTTCCTTCCTAAATTCCCCCCAAAATTCCCCAAATCTCCCCAAAATTCCCATTTTTCCCCCCAAAATTCCCATTTTTCCTCCCCAAAATTCCCATTTTTCCCCCCAAACCCTCCCAAAATTCCCATTTTTCCTCCCAAAATTCCCAATTTTCCCCCCAAACCCCCCAAAATTCCCATTTTTCCTCCCAAAATTCCCATTTTTCTGTCCCAAAATTCCCATTTTCCCCCCCAAACCCCCCCAAAATTCCCAAAAATTCTCCCAAACCCCCCAAAATTCCCATTTTCCCTCCCCAAAATTCCCATTTTCCCTCCCCAAATTCCCATTTTTCCCCCCAAACCCCCCAAAATTCCCATTTTTCCTCCCAAAATTCCCATTTTTCCCCCCAAAATTCCCATTTTTCCTCCCAAAATTCCCATTTTTCCTCCCAAAATTCCCATTTTTCTCCCCAAAATTCCCATTTTTCCCCCTTTCCATCCCAAATTCCTCTCGGATTCCCCCAAATTCCCCAAATCCTCCCAGAACTCCCCCAAATTCCGCCCCCCCCCAATCCCAAATCCCTCAAATTTGGGGGAATTTTGGGGGGAAAAAGAGGGAAAAAAGGGAATTTGGGGCAATTTCCAGGGATTTTGGGGCAATTCTGAGGGATTTGGGGGCAATTCCAGCCATTTTTGGGGCAATTTCACCCATTTTGAGGTGTTTTGATCCCATTTTTGGGCCAATTCCTTCCATTTTTGGGACAATTCCAGCCATTTTTGGGATAATTTCACCCATTTTTGGGAGTCCTGATCCCATTTTGGGCCAATTCCGTCCATTTTTGGGACAATTCTGGCCCTTTTTGGGGCTCTCTGATCCCTTTTTGAGTGTTTTGGTCTCATTTTTGGGGCAATTTCACCCATTTTGAGGTGTTTTGATCCCATTTTTGGGACAATTCCATCCATTTTTGGGGCAATTTCACCCATTTTTGGGACTTTCTGATCCCATTTTGGGCCGATTTCTTGCATTTCGAGCTGTTTTAATTCCGTTTTTTTGCCGTTTTCAGCACACAACACACACTTTCATCCACCAAAATCCCATTTTTTCGCAGAAACATCCCATTTTTTCGCACCAAAATCCCATTTTTATCCACCAAAATCCCATTTTTTCACACCAAAATCCCATTTTTATCCACCAAAATCCCATTTTTATCCACCAAAATCCCATTTTTACCCACCAAAATCCCATTTTTATCCACCAAAATCCCATTTTTATCCACCAAAATCCCATTTTTTCGCACCAAAATCCCATTTTTACCTACCAAAATCCCATTTTTATCCACCAAAATCC